ACATACCATGTGGAAAAATCTGAGCTGAATGTTAAGCCATGTGGTCAAAGTAGTTTACTGGTTTTATCATTAATAGCATGAAAGACCCTCAATTTTGAGGTTTGTTACACTACTAATGTTTATTTGGAAGTTAATTATTTAGAATTCATCATATTACAGACACAACCATTTAATTTACTATATAGGGTATTTACTCTTCATATGCCATGAAAATTTTAGAAAACAAAAATGTTTACTAGTAATTACATGAAGAGAATTAAATTTACTGATATACAAAAAAAGACATACTTGAAGAAATGTATGTTTAATAAAACATGAATATGAGAGGGAGATTTGGGAACTATGAAGACATCAGGACACTCAGAACCTTTCAACTACAGAGTGGGAGTGATGAAAAAGCATGGGCAGTGTGCAGCTCTTAGTAATAAGGTATATTTACAATTTGGCCTTCTGGATAGAACTCTCGGAATGCTTATATTTCAAATTGCTCCTCATTTCTGATTCAGGCTCCTCAGCAACCTTGTGAAGCAGAAACCCCATGCAGCAGAGATACAGCTCCAATCAATTATCACAGATTTTACTCACCTGGTTGAGATGTGCTGTCAAGCAGAGAAAAATGAAATGTGTTTTCAGAAAAAGGTATCCCTGTTTCCTTGCCTTTTCTTCTTTTAGCACTCAAAGGATTTATTATAGTAAAAAAAAATAAATAAGGGAATGCTACCACAAATGTCTTTGTTATCTAGTGCTGCTATAACAAAAATATCAGAAGTGAATGTCTTTAACAAACAGAAATTTATTCTCTCCCAGTTTAGGAGGCTGGAAGTCCAAACTCAGGGTGTCAACTCTAGGGAAAAGCATCCTGTCTCTATTGGCCCTGGAGATAGGTCCTTATCTCCTTTCAACATCTGTGGGCCCAGTGTCACTTGGAGATCTCCATGTGTCTTAGCATCAATCAATTGTTCTAGGAGTTTGTCAATGCAAGGGCCCTGGGTCCAAAGGATGTGCTCTGCTCCTGGCTCTTCTTTCTTGGTGGTATTAAGTCCTCTCTCTCTGCTTGCTTATATTTCATTTTATCTCTTGTAAAATAAACAATTATATAGGCCATATCCCAAGGAAACTCCTCTTACATAAAATCGGAGTTGTGACTTGAGCAAGGGTGTTGTATCTCACCCTAATCCCCTTACAGCTGATTG